TGCCATACTTGTTTGTGTGTGTGTGTGTGTGTGTGTTGTGTGTTCTATTCCCCATTTTCCGTCCCTTCCGACCCTTCACTCCAAAGATCTGTACAGTGAGGGAGCGAGCGTGGACAATTGTCAAGCAGCCGGTACATCGCACGCACGAAGAGAGAGAGAGAGAGAGAGAGAGAGAGAGAGAGAGAGAGAGAGAGAGAGAGAGAGAGAGAGAGAGAGAGAGAGAGAGTGGAGGGAGGGGGGGAGACACTTAAGGTCCAGAGCACATCAAATCCATTTCATTCTTTCTGCCGCTTCCGCGCTGTTCAGACATGCCTACCTAAAACACTAACAAAAGATCTTGAAACATAATATAAGGAAACCAATAATGACAAAAGCCATAACGGCAAGGAAAATAATCCTGGCAAAGCGATAACGACGATGAGAATAGTGACAAAACTACGCAATCATGACAAAAATAATTGTGGCAAAAACATACGGTAAAATCATAATCACTAAAAACTCGACAAAATTTCATCAGTCCCCGTACCTACACAGTTTCAAGGGCGACGGTTCAATTATTTGGAAATAATTTCAAATAAACGACTACTGATGTCATCTAAATTTCCGTTTATAACAAATTACATTATCACGATAAAATGTCACGATATCAATATCTCATTATCTTTTTTGAACAATATTAAAAAATCACAAGAAACGATAAACGCTAAGGCCCTTTATCTAAGTTGTTTGGACATCCAAGTGGAGATACACCCGTCTTAGGGCCTCGCCACATCACTCTCCAAACGTGAAAAAAAGACAAAAATGTGACGATGCATATGGCCATGTTCTAGCGGGAAGTTCATGCTCATTTTGTACACTTCGAGAGTAGTGTGGCGGTGCCCTTATTCCTGTAGACCGGCGGKACGCTATTTTTWGCAACGACATTAACCGAGTGGAGATAACGAAGTCAAACCCGAACGGAGTCCAGGTAACGAAGTTAACCCCTTTCATCACGACCGCGGGACTGCTTTTGTCCACAAATACCACAGATATACATTCCAAGACAGATGACCTATACATTCCAAGACAGATGACCTACGTCATCTGTTGGTGGGAAACGGGACCGGGGTACTTAACTGCACTAGAGGGGATTTTAAGTAATGAATTCCGAGTACGCACCCCTTGCTTTCATCCAATGTGAACATCTCCTGGCTGCATGGTGGGGACCACGCAGAAAAGTACTGGAGACCACGTTGAATAGAACTTAAAGGAAGACTAAAAACCCTCAAGTGGGACTTGGAGCATACTAATACAACGTTTTTTTGTGTCTGACCCGAATTCTAGTATTATTCTACGACAACTAGAATGCATCTGACGGCAATTACGTCCAGAAGAGTCTGAGAAGACCTCAGTCCAAAAAATCATAGTGAATATGGTCATACCCGGGTAGTACATTCGTTGCCAAGGGACGGTTCGCTAGTTTCACTAACAACCAAGTATAAACTGTATAACCGCAAAACCGATTTATTTTATTTTTTTTATTATTATTTTTTTAACTACGTGGCTATATTCTTACCTCAAATCTTTCATCATTTAGCACTAATTTGGATATACAATCCTATACATATATTATAAAGATGACCCACGTTATCCGAAGGACCCGAAGCAGGTTGGTTGCGAAGTGAAGGTTCGCTATTTTTACCAACAGTCGGGGAATTGTGCGTGCCCCTTCCATCCACTACCGTCTTCACCCGAATAGAACGCCCGGTCATTATCGCCGCATCTGGACAGAAAGTTGGGCCAAATATAATGACCAGGCGTTCTATTCGGATGACGGCAGTAGCAGACCGTTAGCAGTAATATGTATGGACATAAATGTCAAGATAACCCACGTTATCCGTTCGTGGTATCAGGAGAACACCGGAAGTGCGTTGGTTGCGAAGTGACGCTATTTTTTGCGACAACTAGTACAAGTTCGTAACCCCTTTTTATCCACTATACATGTCAAGATCACGCACGCACGCACGCATGTCAAGGACCATAAGGACAATGTTGCGAAGTGACGATACTCCTATATTTTTAGCAACAGCCCCGCAACGCCTTTCATCGACTAGCAGCAGCAATAATTTGGATATACATATCATATAACCCACGTGGGTTATCCGTTCGTGGTAATCGGCAAAAGGATCGCAACTACTTTGGTTGCGAAGCAACCGTAAGCTATTTTTAGCAGCGACTACGATGCTAGGACCCCCCCCTTTTTTTGTTAATAGGACCCCTTTTTATGCACTAGTAGTCTATAAAAGTAGTATGGATATCCATGTCCCTGTCAAGATAACCACCGTTATCCGTCGATAGCGTCCCGTAAGTGCGCCTGTTGAAGTTAAAAGTGGCCGTTACCTTCCTTGCCACGGGGTTCACCTTCCTTAGAGGTGGCTCGGAAATTGCGGACTCGACGAGTGTGTGTGCAGGGGGAAAGGGTGGAGGGTGGGGGGAGGGACAAAAGGAGGGAGCAGAATGGTCAACGTGTGAGGGGGGAAAGAACCCAAGCGCCACAACTGACAGCGTCAGCTCCTGGCCCTCCTCTGTCGATCCTATCGGAGGTTGAGAGCACAGTCGTGCAAAAGATCTCTGGGTGTTTCGGACCGTAGTTACCACGCATCTGCACGGAGATTGAGACGGTGAGACCACATTCATCCGGAGGTACTTTGCATGCTTCTGACCGCAATGACGGCCATGTACAGCCGACAAACAAGTCACAGAAGTTCTGCCGTCGGTCCGGGTCTTCTTCGGTTGTGTCTCCTCTCACTGCACCTTCTACCACCTTCTTTCCTCCGGCGAATACAACGCAACCCCTTTCTACACCTCCCAATGGGCCCAGCAGACCCAAACGCCGATCCAGTCATAGGGCGTCGCAAAAGTAACTCACCACATGCAGAAAAGACAGAATATGGCCGTGAATCTTTGCATGTTCTAGCGGAAGATTCATTCCGATATTGTGCATTCGCCGAGTAGTGCAGCGGCGCCCATAACGAGGGTGCATTATGTTCTCTCACCACAAGACAGCGCCTCTGTCCGCCATAACCACGTATCCCCGTGCTTTCTCGTTGACATCACTACTTAGGTTAGCCATCATCTTTATTCGGAACTCTCACCGGATTCACACACTCCCGCATCCCTTCCTCTCCTTCACGTGTTCGTTTTTTTTCTTTTTTTGTCCCTTTAACTCGCCATCGTCTTTTTTTTTTTGGTAACAGGCTGCCTCTTATTACATTATAAAAATAATACGTATATTAAAGAGAACAAATCTGAGCTCACTGGCCATCGTTGGGTTCCGTGCTTTCACTCTCCCATCGCTGATAATCCCCCCTAACCCCCCTCTCTAATAATCAATCCCCCTTGTCCCCCCCAATTCCCACCATTCTGTTCCTTGGCACCTTCCGTGATTGATCCTGACTTCAATTCGTCAAAGCTTCCGTGCTTTTCCGTTGACGTCATCAGTCCTCGCTGGGCGCCGATGTGTCACTCTACACTAGCCACCATCCCCGTGCTTTCGCGTTGACGTCACTGCTTCGGTAGCCGCATCAGGTACCTCTACACTAGCCACCATCCCCGTGCTTTCGCGTTGACGTCACTGCTTCGGTAGCCGCATCAGGTACCTCCACATCACCGCATCCCTGCTGGCTGATGGCGTTGAATAATCGTTCGGGGCTTTAACGCTGAGGTCGTCACTTTCCTTTTGGGGAATCTCGGCTGCAACAGTGTCGTCCTCCGGATCACAAGACGACAAAACCGTTTCCCAAGACCCAACGGTGCGCTGGCTGCCCAAGCAGAGACGACGACGAATCTTGTCAGCCTCTTGCTCTTCCTGATTCTCGAGGCCATGGCTGGATCCTCCTCCTCCTCCTCCTCCTGTCCTCGCGGTTCTCTCTTCGTCCTCACCCTCCGCGTCGACCTCCAGGTACAACCACCCACCGTCTCCGTAGTAGTCGGAAGTGAGCACGTGGCTCCATCGCTGGTTGGTCGAAGGACCAGCCACCATCGCCGTCTTCGTCCTTCTACCTTCTCCGCCCTCTCTTCTTTCTTGCCCTTGTCCAGCCATCATCGCGATGCAAACTCCACCACGCGATTGCGCGCAGATCGGACCAGTCTTGTAGGCGGACGACCATAGCTGCGCGTCATCTCCGTCACACGGGACTTGCTCAAGCAGCCCTACTGCGTTGGCGTTCATGATTTTCTTGAATCGTCGCTGACGTGGCGGTAAACCCTTATCCTTCTTTGGATTAGCTGCCAGCCTAGACGGCTGGATGCACAGACCGGACAACCTGTTCTGCAGCAGTTTCCCTGTGATCGCTATGTGCCCTACCGGCTGGCGATCAGATGACGGCGAAAGGGAGGGAGAGGAGGGAGAAGAGAGAGAAGAGAAGGGAGAAGCGGACGGGGACGGAGGGAAGCGAACAGTGTTCCCGTCAGGGAAGGAAGAGGAAGGGAGGGTAGAATTCATCTCGCCAATCCTCGAGCTAATTGTCTTCCCGCCTCTTCCGGAGCTACGGTTCACCATCCCACGTTCGCTAATGGCCCTGTCGTCTTCTTTACCCGGAGAAGAAGAGGAAGAAGACAGTGCTGACATCGCGGGCGATGGCGGAGAGGAAGTCGAAGGCGAAGACCGAGAACACGAAGAGGAGTTGCAGTGTGCACTCTGTTTCCCTGGAGAGTCCGAAAACGCCAGATCACTTCTTCTTACTACCTTTCCCGGTCCACTGATAGAATTCGAGGGAATAAGGTATGGCTGCAGCGCCCACGCGTCAGCCGTGGTCAGGATAGCTAAGAGTAGAACCGCTGCCATGACGAACACAGCACAAGGAAGCGGGACAGGTACACGGATCGAGTCCAGCTTTCGGCAACGAGCAATGTTACTCCTCAAGAGTGCTGTGAGATTGTCCATCTTGAAACTCTTCCTCATCAGATTCTTAATCCCTGCCCGACGGTCCAGGGACACCGCACGGCCACCTGCCTCTCGATCGCCATCGCCAAATCTTGATGACGACGGAGAAGACGACATGGTTACTGTATGCGCTGCGGTATGCACTCCGGTATGCGCTGCAGTATGCACTCCCTGATTGGCAGAACTCCCACCACACATTCCTCTCCCTCTCCTTCTCACACCTCTCTCGTCACTGATTATGCCCTCCATATGTCGTACAATCACGACGTCCACGTTACGTACAGTCCCGACGTCCACGTCACGCACAGTCCGGACGTCCACGTCAAGCCTGCCCTGACGCGTACAGTCCCGACGTCCTCGTGAAGTCAGTCCTGACGTCCACCTCAAGCACTGTCCCGACGTCCACGTCAAGCACAGTCCCGACGTCCTCGTCAAGCACAGTCCCGACGTCCACGACAAATACTGTCCCGACGGACGTCCTCGTCGCGCACACGGTAATGACGCGTAGTAGTCGTGCAAACCAAGCTGACGTGTATCCAGGTCGGGATCCGGAGAACAACCGTTCGAAAGATTGGCCTTGCACAGTGCCAAGCGAACGATTAATCACTTCGCTCCACGTGAGCTTCAGCTTCAGCTCTCGTCGACGTGACGACGATCACGTTCGGGTTCACTCCTCCCACACAGCGATGATGAGAAATGCTAGAACAAGCTAGCTGACTTGTTGCCACGTGGATCGCCACAGCTTGGAAATTGGGAAATAGCCTGGAGCTTGCGTTTTGCATGCAATCAGAAGCAAGCAAAGGGACGATGAAGGGCTTGTTCGAAGTCAGTCAACCTGCTCAACAACGTTTTAAAATGTGATCTAGTGAACACGACCATTCGCGGGCACGCACGATGAGCGCTATTTTTGGACATCAGTAGGCGCAACACCTTATTCCACAAGACCTTATCCACAAAAAGCTTATCCACAAAAGCTTAATTATAGTAATCCAGCATGGATGCTTCTCCTTCGCACAGGCCGGATTGCAATCAACTCAGCTGACTCTGAGTCAGAGGATTTCATCAACCCTGGTCAGCCTTTTTCCTTCTCAGAGTGGGAGGGCTCATTAGACTGCCTGGCCGGACAACTCCTCGTCTCGCGTGAGAGTCTCCTGAATCGCTTGACACGTGGCACTAGCGTGTTCAAAAATCCCCGGCCTCGTCGCGCAAATGGAGCTGCAGTCTTAGCCAATCCTCGCCCACGTGGCCTCGACTGCCCCCAGGCTGCCGTTTTATCCAATTCCTGCCCACGTGGTCCTAGACTGGATTSCACAGCACAGTGGAGTGGTTGCGACGTTTCAGAAAGCTCCTCCAGTCGTCACTCACAGTTCAACCAACCTCCGTTCATACCCTCTCTCTCTTCCCCTAACTCTACTTTCTCACTGTTTCTCGATAAGCACAACTCTCTCTTTCTCTCTCTCTCTCTCTCTCTCTCTCTCTCTCTCTCTCTCTCTCTCTCTCTCTCTCTCTCGCAATACAATGCGGTTAAGGCTACAGCTGTCGCGATTCAGTTCATCACTTTGTAGCTGTGCCGATGGCCAGGATGACCTT